AGGATACAACCTATTGTTTCCAATTTGTGAACCTGAGTGTTTGAAACTCTTTAAAAGGGAAATTCCATTCAGTCAAAACAAAGGCAAAAGCTGAAGGAAGAAAACTGAGTGACCAATAAAGATATCCTAGAATTAGAATAAAACACAGTATTTTATGTAAAGTAGTGCATATGCTCTTGAAGGAGTTGGAACAGAATTATCCAGGGCAGATTTATCTATTTTATGTATTTACATTGAATCCATTCTTTTGGAGGCTAGTTTGTTTGCAAAACGTTACCGTGTTGATCACTGAAGGCGGGGAGGTGATATTGTCCTCCCGTTCAGAGAGTCCAGTGCAATTGTGCCAGAAAATGCAGGGAGGGAATGGAAGAAGTGTGTGGCAGTGAGGTTATGTGGTGCCACGTTTACATGAGACGGCCATAGCCCTCTATAGTTGTTTTTAAAACTCAAGCGTTGGTATCCTGCAGCATCCCTTCCCTTTGTAGGTGTAAGGAGGGGAGAGACAAGGTTGTGCTGCAAGCTCTTCCAGAGTCGGAAAAGGAAACTGCCCACTTAGTTGGGTCTGCATGGCTTAATTTTATCCTGGGGATAAGAAGGAGGCCTGCCTTCATATTGTCCTGAAGTTTATTGAGGAAAAAGCAGTATTTCTTATGTTCAGTCCCTCAGGCCACACTCTCTTAATGCATCTCTTAACATGTAAATAACAGTGACTGAAAAAACTAAAGGTGAAAAAGAATATCTTTAAATTTCCTTGTGAAAAATAAAGCATGGAATTATTTTCATAAAGTTTGCATTGATTCTTATATATGAGAAAAAACACTTGGAAAGCAACGTATGCCAGACACACCACTGAGAAGATACTGGGCTTTAAGTTTTTCCAAGCTCATTCTGTAGCATGTTGTTACTTGCAGCAATACAGAGCAGATCTGTTTAGGAAGTGAGGGAGGGAGATAAGCGAATACTATTATAAGCTTAGGTTTTAGGGACCTTTTGGGACCAGTGAGTTAAGTAAAAACTTCAGCAGAAAAATCAGCACAATTTTTTTTCCCTTAAAGAACAAAGCTTTAAATAATACATTCATATGGTAAATGTCTTTATTTCTAGTTGGCTCAGTTTGAATATTCAATAATCTTTCTGTTTGATGCTTGTGACCACTTTCAGATTTTATTCTAGAGCCACTGAAATAAGCACAGCAAGGGGGAAAGCTACTATTTTTGTTCTGTTACAGTTTTGTTAGGCCACATGCTCAACACAGTTCTTCAAATTTGAAATGCCTTTCAAAGACATGTCAACGAATTCAGAAAATACACAACAGAACTAGAAGATCCTGCGATAGTGGCTGATAGTGATACTGTGAATGTAGTTTCTAACAGAGCCTAACGTAATCTGTTCTAATCTTTTTTTTTTTTTCCTCAGTCATATGGTTAGAAACACGTATGGTTGTTTCTCAAGGACCTTGTTCTTCCTTTATTAAAAAAGTTACAAAGATCAGGCAATAGGCAAATAATAGTTTATTTACACAACAAAGCTATGTTATTTAGAAGTAGCAACCATGAGAAAAATGTATTTATCCTACACTCTTTATCCCCTAAAGACTTATGTGTGTACTTCAATAGGTCTGTGCCCATGCACAAAGCAGACAGATGACAGCCTTTAAGAGTAAATTTAAAAGAGGAAGAGAATCAAAAAACTCCAACACCTGGAATACGGCATGGACTTTGTTCAATAGCAGACAGATGAAATTTGACTGTGGAGCGAATGCTGGAAGAAATTTTGCTTCCACGGGTCACTGGAAGCAGTGTTTCATAATGTTAGTAAGTGTGTGAGGTAAGCTCAAAAAAATGAGCAATCAAATCATGAGAAGTTTAAAGCTTGCTGCAGGAATGAATGTAAGGAGGAGTCAAGAGAATAGATAAAAAGGCACAGCAATGGTGCACACAGTGAATGACAACTTGCGTGTTGGGACCCAGCCTCTCCTGAGGCTTAAGGTCCCATGTGAGTTTGTCTTCTGCCTCTGAACGAAGTTCCTTCGTTCCTTAGTTTTCATTAAATAAAACAGTCCGAATCTAAATGTTTTTACTGTTTTACTCTTTCAGGATGATGTTTTGTGATTGTATTTTTGTTGATGTTGGTTATGTCTTTTGTACAGTTTGATTTCTTGGTGGAATTAGTGTTCTGTAGTTTTACCTCATTAGCTGGATTATCCAGGAATATCCACATCAGCTCATATTCTGTTTTTTAGCTGAAATGCTTTCTTGGCCGCTCATTAAATGTGGAATCCTCTCCCTAGAATATTTATTTTGATAGACTGTAATTTAGGCAATTTATTTCCCAAAGAATGTATGTGAATAACGAGAGACTCTTTAGATTACCTTGGAAGGTTTGTTCCAGCGTGTAAATATATGTAGGCACAGGTTGATGTCCATCTTCAGCTATGAGAAGGAAATTTTCTGTTCTTCTCTTTCTTATGCATTGCATCTCGGCAATGCTCTGCGCTGTGAGCGTGCCTGGTGCTCTGCAGCGTGCAGCTGCAGCGCTCTGCCTTGTTGCGGGTGGCGGGGAGGATTCGTTTGCTTGTAAAGGCCTCTTTGGTACTCCTCAGCTGGAGAGGAGCTCAGCTGTGACATATGTGTTTAGAGCAATGCAGGAGGAGTTCAGTCAAGGTAACAATGAGGAGACCTTGAAAGTTTGCAGAGATGCAGATTAAATTTCTATCAACAGGAAGGGTTTTTTAAGAAGCCAGCATGGAAGATGAGAGAATGGAAAAATGCTTAACCGATCGTACTTTAACATGCTGAAGACAAAAGCAGAGGAGTCCAATAAATAAGCAAAGATTTAAAGGATATAAAAAAATGAACAAAGGTGTCTAAAAATGGGGTAACGTTAAGCAGTAAGTAGTTCTCTAAATATGCACTGTATAAAATAAACAAAAGAAGAGAAAACGTTCATCAGCATGTGTTGAAAGCTAGTGACAGAGATTAAGCTGGCTGTACAAAAGACTTGAATCTTCACATAGTTGTTTGAGCAAGATAATGTTGTCCAGTCTCTGAAATGCTTTTATCTTGGTAAGATATATTCTAAAGCATCTTTACCAAGGCAGTGATTGCTATTCAGGACAGACAAAATACCACAGCTGCACAAAACATTTTTCAAAAAGTAACAAAAGAAAAAAGGAAAGTTTTCAATAAAGACTTAAGTTAAAAACAGAATTAAACCTTGTTTGCACACATGACTTAAATCAATTTCTTTTAATCCACACAGATATATATATTTTTAATTATAGTACATGTCTGAGTAAAATTATAGTTCATATGTATGTAAGTTTTATTTGCGATCTTAGGCAGTAGAAACTGAGGTTGGCATTTGGACAGGATAGACTAACAGTTGTTGAATTGTACAGTTCTTTAACTATAGCGTGTGATCCATCTCAACATAAGGATCTAAATTTTGTTAGATTAGATCTTTGTGTACAGTGTTGGAAATGGAAGATTAATGCCGCTATGTTTACACAAACTCATAAACAAAAAAATGTAGTAATTTAGTTCAGCAACGATGAGAATTTACCACGCAGGTCTGGATTTTCTACAAGCCAGTGAAAAATGGGCCTAAAAGTCTAATGGAATCAGGTTTACTGTAACATTATCAGGATTTTCTGTTAAACTGCACATTTCCATATATTTTAGACATGTAAAAAGTGTAAGTTACTCTATTTCCTTCCTTTTTCTTAAGACTTTTTTAAAAAGTACTTTTAGAATCTCAAAATTAAATGAGGAAAAATGTCTTCAGTCATTATACTAACACCAGAGAGTGGTCCACTGATGTTCTAGTTAGGTGTTGACTTTTCAGTATGTGCCTAGATTCACCTAGATGCTGTCTTGCAAACTTTTCTTCTTATGAATCTAAGACTGCTTGGAGTTTCTATCACCTATTTGACACATGGGTCTGTTGTTCATATTGATGATGGCCTGCACTGAAGACCTGGAAAAGAGACATAGGTTTGTCAGTGTACCATGTTTGTACCATGCTTTGATAATCATACGTGTTTATGTTTTCTAATAATATAATAACAATAAATATAAATAAAATAATGGAAAGTTTTTTTTTTTAATGGTATGTCTGGAGATACTGATCCCAAGAAAAAACATCACTTTGACATTTTTAGCACCCTGGACTAGAAAAGTAGTTGAAATAATTTTAAAAAATAACATTTAAGGAGTTGTTGATAAATTTAGTGTGGGAAACTCCAGTTACCTATCTGCTTCTGTTTGCTGTCATAAATGTTTTTTTCTTGTTTTCTTAGCTTTTTTCTTTTTTTTTTATTTTCATTCTGTTCCTGCTTTCAAATTATTTAGAAGATGATGAGGTTTATCAAGGAAATTACTTTAAAAAAATAGAGAATCCCATGGAAGCAATGTCTAATGCAGCGTAGTATAGCAGTCTTTGGATTCCATCCAACTTGATTGAATTATTTTTTTGACTGAGCTGTGTTGTACCTAAGCTTCCAGTACAGGGAATGACATGGGAGCGTGAGATCGTAATCACTGTTTAATCAAATCAAGACTTATATTTTTCTGGTAGTTAAAAAAGAATTCTGTTGAGTCTTGTGACACCTTGTGAGAGCTCTGATAGATCTTGCCTGAATCCAGAAAAGCCCCATGGTTATAGAGCTCTTTATCCTATTGACAGTAGCAGCATGGCTTTCTAAACAGCTGAAAAATAGCATGTATAAAAAGATAATATTAAATTTTCCAGATATTTAGGATTATGTGTCTTTCAATGTCTTTGAGAACCATTTTCTAAAACTTTCCTAAGAGACGCTATGAGCCTTGTCTAGACTGGAGGTTCAGAGAAGCATCCATTCTGCTGAGGAACATGCCAGTCCAGACCTCCAAAATCTCTCATGTTTGTCCATCATTAGTGAAGCCATGACATGCTGAAATCCACTTTTCACAAGTATTGTTTTCTGATGCTTTCATAATTCTCAATTTTGCTGTTCACAGAGAGTGAAGAAGTGTACCAGCGCCAGGTGCTGTCTATTTCCTGTATCGTCTTTGGCATAGTCGTAGTGGGCATGCTTTGTGCAGCGTTCTACTTCAAAACAAAGTAAGAGCCTTTGTCTAGTGTATTTGTCATTTAGTTTCTGTCCTTTTTATGGCTTTCCAGTTCTTCAGTTTCTTCCCTCCTTTTGAAGCTGTCCTTACTGCTGAACAGGCTGGAACAGTTCCCCATGGCTAGATTATCTAAGTCAAACAAACAAAAAAAGTAAACAAGAGTAATACATCCTCTTGTTTCTATTTCCTCATATCAGGAAAGAAGAGTCTGTGCGTCCTTTCCAGTATTTTTTCTTGATAGTAGTAATTTTGTGCCTTTTAGTACCAGTGTGCTAATCACTTTTTTCTTTTGAAAATAAAAGGGTAATCATACCATCTCCTTTTTGCGTTTTGTTTCACATCCCTTAATGTCCCTTTTATTTCTATACACTGGGAACAAAGGTGTGAGTTAGAAACACATAAACAGGAAAGAAGCTCTCTGCAGATCATTGTAACTTGTAGGTAATTGTAAACTGCTAATGTCGTTACCTAACCAATATCTCTAATATACAAGTACGCTAAATTATCCAAGTATGGTGGAATCATTTGTTCTAAAATATTTTCAAGTGAAATATTTTCTTTCCACTCTGTTTTTCTTCCTCTTCCCAACTGATCATTATCTTCTAATATTTATTGTTGTGTGTGTAATTTGAGTTGCAAAAACTTCATAGCAACTACATGACATGCATGTCAATGCCACTGTATTTATAAATATGTTCTGTATGGCTGTCATTCCCCAATCCTGTCCCAACTGGAGCTAATGAGAGAACACCAGTCAATATAAATGGCACCTGCATTAGGTTAGTCATGGTGACTGCATATTAAAAATGTGGAGGCTTGCAATATTTAAAAGTCTGGATGCTTATCTGAATCCTTTAGTTAGTTGGTTACTTATATGGGTAGGAAAATTGACGAGAACTGCTTCTTTTCTTTAATGTTTTGCCTTTTCTATCATGGAAAGGAGAAAAAAAGTTGGAAAAGTTACAAGACCCCATTTTAAACTTCAAGGGTAGTTTGTGCAAGTTTTCTGTGAAGATTTAAGTTGGTTCATGGTTCATCTAAACTCTCCTACCTATTTGAATGTCTTGAGGGATTTTGTTTAATTCTCTTTAGATCTAGAATCTGATTGCAGCGTCAACTGGGATGATATTGTGGTAGGACAATTTCTTTCTGCGAACTCCTTGATTGTAGAGGCAGTCACTTTGCCACTGACCAAGAAATGTCTTTACATGTTTTAGATCTTCAGAAAAAAGAGAGAGAGGAAGGTTTTTCTCTCCTTCTGGGGATTTTAGATAATGAAGAGAGGCAGAATGGGATTGTCAGCTGGAAGAACATAGAGTCAACAACTGAGCATACTTTGAATAAAAATGTCCTTCTCTTCAATAATTTACTTAGCTATGTCCCTCTTGGCTTCGCACTGTTGTAGGGAATGATGGAGAGCTGGATTGGAACAGCCTCCCAAATATCACAGCTTTGATGAGGTAGAGGGGAGAGCTATATGTAAAAATAACGAGTAGAAATAATGCTTTATAGATGCATTCACAGGACAGTAGTGGTTCACAGTTTGTTTAGTTTTTTTGGTTTTTTGGGGTTTTTTTTGAACTTGCATTATAAATGTCATGACACTTAGAAGTTAACTATCCTTGTCTAAGAGGGAAGAGCTGAAGTAGGCTTACCAGGTTCTGGGAACTAACGCTTGAAGAGCATTGAGAAAATGGGCACCTCCAGGTCAGTTGGGAGGTCTTATATATCCAATGAAACATAATAATTTTAAGATACCAGTTCCTAACTCCCTGGCTTTTGCTCCATTTGGCTGCAGCACTGACAAACTGTCTGAAAAGTAGATCTTTCACCTGGCCTCACACTTCCTTCATGGAACGATACAACCCACCTAATGACTTTTTAGATACCAGAATCCCTGAAGATCACGACTACCAGTAGGCAGGTAATGTTGTGGGGTTTGCCACAATCTGAGGCAGGAGGTGGTGGCTGGAACAGTTTGAGATGACAAATGGTAAATGAAATGGAATTAACACTGCAGCTTTTATGGCCTTTGAAGAGATTTTCCTAAATACTTCCATTGTTGGTGAGATTTTTCCCATTTTCCCCATTTTTTATAACCACTATTCCCTCAAAATCTCCCGTATCCAGGAAGGTTCACAGTAACCATATGTCCGTCTACATGCTGATTCTCTGCCGGTACCTTCGTTCTCAAACATCAGCAAATGACAGATTATTCCATATTTCTGTTAGAGCTATAGGATCTGGTTCACCTCAGTTATTTGTAACCCCAGGACTCTCCCCTCTGGAAGGGCAATTCCTGGTTATTGAAGGCTAGCAGAAACGTTTTGCTTGTCTTTCTTGAGCTGCTCACCTGGGTAAAGCTTATGGCCTGCACAAGTGTATCCAAACTAGGCATGCACAAAGTCCATCTAAAACAGCATATCCTAGTTGTGATATTGGCCAGTGACTTAAAGCTGTAAGAAGAAACAAATTTAAAGTGACTCAACTCTTAGCATATACTAGCTTTTAGTCAACAAGTTTTCAGGAACCTATTCATCAGGCAGCTTATCTTGATCCTGTTTAAGAGTTATCAAAGCAATCCTACTGCATGGGAGATAATATATAAGTTTAACTTAACATATCAAAAAATTAAAATATTACTAACAGAGAAATTCTGACTAGAATATCTTTTGGAAAAAGAAGTTTTCGTGAAGAATGTGACCCTGACTTTTTTAGGCTGATGATCTTATAATAACTGCTGCTAGAAATATCCATTTCGTTATGCATTGTTACATGAAAAGCCATTCTTTAAAATATATTTTGTCTGAGAAAGTTCAGGACTTCAATTAAACACTATGCACTTCCGATTATTCTTTTTGAGATCATCAAGAAAGTACTTAAGAAAGTGTTAGCAGCAGAGGGAGAGTACGGCAAAAAGAATATGGGTTGCTCTTTATGACTTAGACTTTTGTAGATACTAGTGACTTGAATTTATTTCTGCAGAAATAACAATATTTTATTGCAGAACATTTGTAAAGTAGAATACATAAGGTCCATTTGTTTGAAAACAAAACTTATGAATATATTAATCAGTGAATAACTATGAATGAATACTTTCTAGTTTTTTAATTGTGCATCCTATAGTTCAGAGAAGTTAATGTACATAAACTTAATATTAAAGTTAGGTTACATGAGCATGAAAAGGAAACATTAATTATTAGATTGTTTTTCTCAGTAGATTACCTTTTAGAATCTTAGTTGTAATGTTAAAAATTACAACAGTGAAGCTGAATATTCCAGTTTACGTATATGTGTTTATAGATGTAGAAATCATTCTAAATCCAGATTTCCCAATATAATGCAAATTTTGGATCCAGTAATGCCTAATTTGTTGTTTTCCTGATGAAATTCTAAGAATTCTTGTCTACAGGAGAGATTCTACAAGTCTAAAGCTATAATGCTCTGATAATGTTAGGCTGTCATTGCTTAGACTTTATATGAAGCCTTCACTCAAAAATGCTCCAAAAAAAAAAAAAAAGACTATCTTCTGTAACCATTTTGAAGACCAACATGCAAGTGGATGGCTTTCAAATAGGACATATGGATATGTACAGTTATATCAAGAGTGTATGTAATTTAGCTGGTCAGGGAATATTTATTCATACAATCTGTGGAATCATTTCCATGAATTTCCTCTAGGATTTTTTTTTATAGCTAAACATTTTGACATTTTCCAAATGAATTCTTCAATTTCATTAGTTTCAGAAGTGAGCTGAATATATAACAAAATGTGTTAAAAAGTCAAATCAAAAAGAAGTGTTTCAAAATTATCTAATTTGTTTAACTTGACACAATAATCTTTCAAATATTTTATTTTTTCAGATTATTGTGATACTAACTTTTCATATTGTTTTTGACTAAGGAGGAATTTTTAAAGTTTAGAAAGTTTTCAAGCATGAGAAAGTATTTCCTCACCCACCCATATTCATAAATCTTTCGAATTAGGAACCTCTAGTTATATTCAAAACATACCAGTCATGCTTCCAACATGCTTACATTGTAAATTAATTCTTTTTCATTTGCCATGTTCTTTCACAATAGGATCTAAATGATACTTAACAGTGTCTCCAATATTGCGTATAGCTTATGGCCTGTATTCAGGAAGAGTGCTATAACAAATACATACTTTTAAGCAGATGCTTAAGGCTTGCTATATTTAAGCAAATCTTTATAAAAAAGTTGCATTTGAGTGCAATGCTTAATCAGAAGTAATGGACTTAAAGACAGATAAAATAAATATAGAGGAAATCATGTATATTTATTTTAATACATTAAAAATCTGTATTAACAAAGTGAAATATTTTAACAGTAAGAATTCCTATTATTGTAGTATTTTATTCTTTATATAGTATTATATTGAACTATACCTGTATTATAGTTCCTTTCATATTGAAGGAACTTGTGCTTCCAGTTTGCTCCCGTGACCACTTTAGCAAGTAATTTTCCTCTGGTCTCTTACACTTTACTGCATTAGAGTCACTAGAATCACCAGAAATTTTTCAAAACATTGGTAAAGCTTTTCTTTAAAATTTCAAATTTCAGTATAGAAAGGGGTGATTGTCTTTCATCTTTCCTTTATTTCTTTTCAACGCCTCCCTGAAAACACTTACTTCCTTCTGAGATTTGGCTCAGCACCAAGTGCTGTCCCAAAGCTGCTGGTGGCATCAGGAAGAGTCATTGCTGCTAGTGAGTCCTTGACCTTTCTGAGTGGTTTCAAGGGCCTCTGATAAGACTGCTGCTGGATGTGCATCTGCTAGGGAGAAGAAGGAGGAAAAGGAAGAAGGGAAGGATGGAATTAAAATAGTATTGTGGATTTATTTCTCAGGATCATTTAAAACTGATAGAGTTTCAGACAGTGTGGTTTATCGAAAGAATGGAGACTGATGAAAGGTCTGAAATATATTTTGCTAATAGTTTTGGCCCAATTGAGTTATATCAGTTTGCAAAAGGTAAAAGAAATATTTGAAATAAAGTATGCAGCCTCATATCCTCAATTATGTACAGAACTTCAAAACTCAGTCTGCCAAAATAGTGTGGCAGAAACATAAAGACGTTAAAAGTGTAGTTATCTCTTGAATATTGCAAGTGACTCATCTAGTGGTTTTCTCAGCTTTGACATGGCATATCATAGTATAACTTGCCAAAAACAGTCTCAGATACAATGTTGATGCTTAGGCTTTTTCAGGGTTCAAGCATATAAACAGAAAGCAGGTCTATTAAAGATACTAAGTTACGGGTCAAATCTAATGAGCTGCAAGTAAAAACTGGAGATTGTTTGGCAGGTTTTATAACAACAGGGGCTGATGCCTGCTGTGTCTGCTGAAATTGCTGTTCCGAATCAAAGTACTTTTTTTTAACATTCAGGACCACTTGCAAGCTATTGTTAAATATGTAATGGATGAGCTCTTTACATACAAAATCCTGCACTATAACAACTAGCATGCTATTATAGTAATTTGAGAATAGAAGCTATTTTAAACAGAAGAGCTCTTTTCTTTCTCTTCTTAAGCCTCGCCAGAAAATGACCACTGCATTGAAATTTTAGGCACTAGTGAATTAGCTTGGCTGGTTAATCTGAAATGGTGAAGTTTTGAACATAGGAAAGCACGGCTATAAAAATATCACAGCTATAGTAGAAGATCAGACTAGCTTTTTCTTACATGTATTTTATTTCTCTCTGCAGGAAAGAAACAAAGCAAATTCATGAACAGCTGAAAGAAACACAGAATAGAAAAACCTACAGCCTAAATGCTTCCAGCATGATGGCAAAGTCAGAGTGTATGGCACAAAGCCGAGTCCAGCTGCAACATGTAAGTAATCTTGCCAGCCACAACACTTAATAGCCTGGCTGAGTTCCTGCTGCTGATGGCAGCAGATCGCCATGTTGTTATTACCATCCGAGCAATGGGAACAGAATTACTCACCTCTTTCATAAAATGTTTTCTATCACGCCTGTTGATGGAAAACACCAGGCAGGGTTTATTTTGTGAAGTTATTTCAGCTTGCCCTGGTATGGCCCTGGTATGTTTATTTAATGTAATAAACCTTTTTGAGCCCCCTAGCTCTGCATTCAGCACTGCAAATGACTGCTACAGTCTTCCACAATACCTTAACACATGTCTGTGGTTTATAGATGAAGTGGGGAGCTTCAATCTTGAATGATTTTGAACCTTTCAATAGAAAATATTAATGGACCTGCATGAAAAATGTAGAGTTTTTTCACTGTTAATTCAGAGCAAATCCAAAATTTAGAACTAAACTTATACTATTACCCAAGGGAAAATAGTGTGGATGGTCTCATTTTTCTTGTGTCTTGAGTTAAACAAAGGAACTTTTGTTACTGAAGGAAGTCAATTTATTCAAACTGAATTTGAAATTTACTTAATCACGATCTGAATATAGTTATATGTAAGTTAATACCATCCCACAATCATGAATTACATTCAGCAAGTTTGAAGCAAGAAACCTGCCGAAGACTGGTGTATTTAGCTTTTGTTGCAAAGTGCTTTCCAAGCCATACCATTCTTTTCCCCCAGTCATATCCATTGGGCTGCCCATTTTTTGAACAAAGCCTTGGGAACAAATGAAAAGGATGGTGGTAGCAAGGCCAAAATTACAATGTAGTAGGAAATCATACAAAATTTTTAAATGCTTAATTCTTGTAAAAAATTATCTCAATTTTGAATCTTAAGAAATCATCAAACCAAGTGTTGTTTTCTGAATTGTTCAAAGGGATGACCAAAAGCCAACCACAGCTGATAGAAGTCTTTCCTTTGACTTCCAAGGCTTTCAGGTAAAAACTTGAAACAGAGGTCCAGATTTGACTAACTATACCTGAGCTACTTGGATAACGCAAAATATTGGTAAACCCACTGCAGTGAGCCAGTATAGCTAGGTTCATTTTTTGTACTGTCGGCTCACAGTACTGGGTACTGTTTACATGTTTCCATTTTAAATATCACTTAACTAGATGTGATGAAATGGAAGCAAAGCTTTACTTCAGAGGTGGCTATTGATGTGAACAGAGCATCCCTTTGCTTTGCTTTAATGTGGGAGGCACGAGAAGGGTGCGCCTTGCACCATGTGAAAGAGGCCGCCCTCAACTGAATCACTTGCCAGGGGCAGAGCTGCAGCCGTGGGCAGGAGTTTCCTCAGCTGATCACAGTTTGACCTTAGCCTTGTGCATCCAGTGCATTACATCAAGAGGCCAGAGGGATACGTCACCAAGCTGGGAGAACCTTTTTTACCAGATTCCATCAAAATAGTGGAGATGAGCAAAAGTGAGCCCTCACACCCACTTAGCCACAGATGCTTCAACTCCTGGTTGACATCAAATCAGTGTGGAAATAAGTATAAGACATTATAACAAATACAGAGTAAGCAGAGCCTCCTTACTGTGAAAGAAGAGCTGTCAGAGTATTCCTTATAGTCAGTAAAAGTTTTGTTTTCTAGAAGCATCATCATGGTCATGATAGGTTTTATGATCTAGAAAAAGTATATTGTTTCAGGAGGGAAAACAGCTGCACAAACTTGACATAATCACAGTTTAGGGGACCTTCTGCAATTCTTTGTTTCACTTTCAGTTCATTCAGTCATATGTCACTTCTTGCCTCTACAAAGAGTTGCTGTGCAGTGTTGTTGGGTTGTAAGGGTGACAATCTCTTTTTCCCAGCACAACAAAAGGTGAAGTGAAATCTGTAAAGAGCTTTTGTGATGCTTTTTTTTCTAACATATAAACAAGACCTTAATTATCACTAAGTATATGTTTTCTCTTTTTTTTCCCCACTGTAATTCAATGCAGTATTTTTATACCCATCATGTTGAAGAAATATTTGGTGTCTGAGTAGCTGATAAGCACACGAACAAGCTTTACTGAAGTTCTGTCCAGTAATGCCATAGCAATGCTCAGCTGCTGCAATAGCCGTAATGGTAGAAGTGGCAGTTTGTAGATTCCAAATATTAGAGATTGAAAAACATTATTGTTGTTTATTATTTTAAGTGAAATTTGCTCTTCAGCTTTTAAGGCTGTTCAGAGGGCAATTATCAATGCTTGTTAATTAATACATGCTTTGCTTGTTCCTATGGCTGCTAGCAGGGAGCTGTTTTATCCTTGCTATTAATGCATTTTCCCTTTGGGAGTAAAGGCACTAAGGAAGAAAAACAGAGTGACCTTTCACAGGATATAGCGTAACAGTGCAGGGTAATAATGGTTTCTATTGTTAGAAAGATTTTAGCAAAAGAATGCATGTAGCCAATTCATTAAATATTCAGAAAC